CCAATTTTTGCATTCCAGTCACCAACTCTTATTAAAACATCCTGATGCATGTTCAGTCAATATCAGACTGCAAATATTGGTAGAAATTCTCAGTTTCCTCTTCTTTGGATTCTGTTGTTGGTGCATATTTATTTGAATAATATTGTACTAACAGGTCTTCCTTCTATGTGCATGAATAGTATCCTATTACAACATTGTACTTCAGGATTGACTTCAAGATGGTCTTTCTAAACTATGAATGCAACACTATTTTCACTTAATTTTTTATTTCCAGCACAGTAGATTGTACAATTGTCTGATTCAAAGCCATCAACACCAGTCCATCTCAGCTTGCAAATGCCTAGAAGGTTGGTCCTTCTGTGTTCCATTTAACTTTTGACAACTACCAAATTTCCTAGATTCATACCTCATACATTCCATGTTCCAATTATAAATGGATGTTTGCAGATATTCCTCCTCAAATTTGAGTGGCTTCCAGTCTGTAGACTTTACCTCCAGTGCTATATCTAACAGTGTTCCTCTATTCAAGGTTTTTCGAAGGCCTGTTATTTCAGAAGTGGATGACCAATCCTGCTTCCTAGTCTGTCTAAATCTGGAAGCTCTGTTAAAACTTGTCCATTATGGGTGATCCTACTAGTCTTTGACACCCCAGTGACACAGCTTCTAGCATCACAGCAACCTACAGATCACTCCAGTACAGCAAACTGACAGACAAGTGGTGTAATCACAGGAGCAAATGATAAACAAGCAAGCATAAACATACTTGGGGTATAAAATAAGCCACAATATGCAGATTATTCCCTTAATACAACTAACTGACAGATAAGCATAGCACCTCTAAGAACAAATCATAGAAACAAATAAGCAGACAGGTATCACACCTCAGGCAGTGTCTGGTTCCCCTGGCAAAGGTGTAGCAGGACAGCATGGGCATGGTGAGAGGAGAGGAGGGCACGTGGGGCATTGCGTAATGAACAAGAAGACACAACTGGAATTAATAGTAAGGCACCCAATGTCAGAGCCTCAAGAGAAATAAAGCAAACTCAGATTTGAAGAGACACACGGACAATTCCTGGTATGGATTAGGCACACCTTCGTTTCCAGACTGGCATCATTGCTCTTCAGAATTCTGGAAATGTCCCTAACAGCAGACTTTTTTCCCCCAATAAAATTCAAGCTGAAATTGTGAACAATCTCAATTTCCTCTCCATCTGTCATGGTGCTGCAAAATAGCCCGGTGGTGAGAACCTTTGGCTTCTTGATGTTGAGCTTCAATCCATACTGAAGTTTGCATTCCTTGACCTTCTGCAGCAAACACTTACTTCAGGTCCTCCTCAGTTTTGGCAAGCAAGGCTGTGTCGTTTGCATAATGTAAGTTGTTGATGACTTTTCCTCCAATCCTAATGCCACATTCCACCTTATAAAGTCCAGCTTCCTGAATTATCTGCTCTTGAAAAGACTGAAGACAGGATGCATCCCTGATACACTCTTCCCAGAAATGAAATCTTATGTGCATAAAAAGAATTTTCTAGAAGAGAAAAGAGAATCTACAGATTGGGGGGGGGCGGGGAAGATTTGGCAATGACATAGTTGACAAGGGATTTATTTGTAAGATTTATAGAGTCCTAACACTTCAATAAGACAAAGATGAACAATGCAATTACAAAACGGGCAGAGGACACGAATAAACATTTCATGAAAAAGACACTCAGACAGCAACAGCACGTGAAGAAATGCTCAAGATCATCAGCTATTAGAGAGATACAAATCAGAACAACCATGTATCATCTCACCCCAGTAACAATAGCAAAGTTCAAAAGTCATTAAATAATAAATGCTGGCAATGGTGTGCAGAGATTGAAACTCTGTTGCTGGGAATGCAAAAGGCTACAACCACTAAGGAAAACAGTTTGGTGGTACTTTAGAAGGTGAGGAGTAGAAATAAGGTTTGCTCCAGAAATTCTACTAGTCCTTATCCTAAAGAACTAAGAGCTGCCATACAAACAGAAATATCTTTACACCCATGCTTTTTTTGCAGCACTATTTATCAAGTAGTGAAGGGTTAGACACAATCCAGTTGCCCATCAACACACAAATGGCTAAAGAAACTGTAGTACTCACACAATGGAATATTATGCAGCACTACAAAAGGATAAGTGTGTGAAATACTACACAACTGGCATGAAACTGGAACAAATTTTGCTGAGTGACATAAATCAGTCACAGAAAGGCAATTACGGTAAAAGACCATGAATATAAAAAGTGAAGAAATGGTTTACACTCAGAAGCCATCTTGGAGCATTAGCAGAGAGGCAAGAAAGGGGAGCAGTGAGCAAAAATGTCTTTAAAAAATTAGGATAACATTTTTGAAAAGTGTAAATCCACCAACTGCTCCATGGGACAACGATGGGCAATCTCTTCCCTTTCAGTTAGCTGCCTCTGAAAACTCACTGAAGGGTCAGCTACAGGTCATTTCTGACTTGAAGGCACACAGCAACATTCCCTAGTCCCAGGTGACCTTGGGGCTAAGGCAGGGCCTGCTGCGGGAGCTCTGGTGCCATAGTGGTAAGGCAGAGTGCTGCAAACCTAAAGGAACAGAGTTTGAATCCACTAGCTGCTCTAAGGGAGAAAGAGAAACAATCTCCTTTCATGCAATTTACGGCTTCGGAAAATCTGCTAGAATGGCAGCTGTGAGTTGGTTCTGACTCGAGGGTGCATAACAGCAAAACAACAGTGGTCCAGTCAGGATCCTGCTGTGAGGACTGGCCAGTGACCAAGCCTCACTTGGAGGGGCTCCCCTCAGTGGCTGAGAACACAGTTCCTGCCCTACTGCCTGGTCCAAATACATTGCGGTGTAGTGAGTCTATTAAAAATGTCTTTCCTAAGCTGCTGTCCTTGACTTTGCCACATGGCTAGGTGGCAACATGCAAACAGGGGGTGCTGGTCTATCCATGAGGGGACTGGCTAGTTTTCCATTCTGCCAGGTTTAAACTGAGCTGGTTCAGTGGCAGAAATTTAAGAATCTTATGACCAGCAAGAAAGAAGAAGCAGATTATGCAGTGTGTGTATCCTTTGGGCTGAGAGGTTCCTGTGCCACTCGGACTAGGGGCTACATGAGAGCAGCAGTGGCAGACACAGCAGAGGACCAGAGACTCGATGTGAGAGCTGATATATGGAAGTGATGCACTATGGAGCCAGAGCCACGGGGCTTCACCCAAGCTTTCTGGAGGGCTTGGGTTAGGGGTGAGGGAGATGCTGTATTTGGCAGGACTGAGAGCTTTGTAGCGCTAGCCTAAAGCTGCAAGGCTGAAAGGTTGAAGGACCTGTGAACATGCTTCAGAAGCTGTGCTGACTGAGAAACCACATCCTGTTGCCAAGCTGAGTTGTAAGTGGCTAACTTCCCTAGTAGGGTTCTGCAAGGGCTGTGTAGGGATTGCAATGAGTTTCTGATCCAGTAGAGCAGTAGGATTGGTGTTGGAATTCATAGAAGTAGGCATGGAATTGGGGGGGGGGCGGGCATGTCTGACCCCATGGGAGTTGGTCTTGTGTTGTGAGTGTTCTTGATGGGGACAGTTCCCCCTTGCTGAGTTAGTGGAGGTCAGATACAGCTGTCCCCACACTGTCCCTGCTCTTTTTTGCATGCGTACTCCATCATCTTGGGCCTTTATTTCCTCATCTGTAAAATGGGAACAATGAATGTTCCTATCTCTGGGGTGACAGTGAGGAGTGAGAACTAACTATGAATTTGGTTGCTCAGGTGAGTATTGACCCCTGACAAATAGTATCCTCATGGCCATTGCTGGTCCCTTCTGCCCTGTGTCCAGCCTGACCCTTCACAGGGTCCCTGTCCTATCCCTGCTTCTCCAGTTGGTTCCTAAAAAAGTTGTCCTTTGTACACACACACACACACACACACACCCCTTCTTACCTTCTAGGGTACTGCTCTCCATGGAGTCCTTTCTATTCACAGCAGATATGCCCCCTGGGAGCCCAGTAGATGCTGTAGCGTCCTGAGACTCCTGTACTTGTCCTCCACCCTCTCCCTGGGAGGGACGACCTCGATGACTTACATTATTGTGATCATTCCAAGGATTCTCCAGCGGAGCACGGGCAAGCGGAACAGGTCCAGCAATGATTGGCGGGTCTTGGCAGAGTCCAGCTCCTCGCGCATGCTGGACATAAGCACCTGGGGGAGCCCAGTGATGTGAGATGATGGCCCCACCCTGCACACAGGGAAATGCTCAGGCAGATAGAATGATGGGGTCCTAGAACGGGTGGGGCAGGGTTGGTCCTGGGTCCCTCTGAGCCTGAGCCCAGCTCTACCCTTCCTCACTGCATGCTGCAGGGAGGTCCTTGGCAAGGAATGGACAGCACCCCACACCCTCCTCAACACTGTAACTGACAGCATGGCATCCTCACTCTTTTTTGCTCCCCAAGCGCCTATCCAGCCCCCTCCCATGGACCCTCATGCTAGGCTCAGCTCAGCTCTGATATCTCCAGCTCACCTCCTCCTGGAAGCCATCCTCTGTCTTCCTCCCCCTCCCTCCCCCAGGGATGTCTATACGCATGACCACTGATGTCTGCTTTCTTGAAACAACTGCCTTCAAATAAGCACATTCTGTACCCCTGTCGACACTGAGGATCCCTTGAGATGAAAGTGGTGCGTGTGTGTGTGTGTGTGTGAGAGAGAGAGAGAGAAGAGGATGGTGTTGATACCAAGGTACTATTGTTACTGGTGCTGAGTGGTGATGATGGTGGTGAAGGTGCTGGTGTATGGACGGCGGTTTGCAGAAATGCTGGTGGTGATATTGGTGGTGTCTTTGGAGGCAGTGATGATGAAACTGGTTCTGATGGTGCTGGTGAAGGTGATGGTGACAGCGATAGTGGTGAAGCTGGCAAGGATTATGGTGATAGTAGTGGTAATGATGATGGTGGTAGTGGTGAGGGCTTGGGTGGTGTCGATGAAAATAAAGATGACGGCAGCAGTCATGCTGGTGGAGGTGGTGATGGTGGTAAAGGTGATGACGACAGTGACTCTGGTGATAAGGTGATGCAGTGATTATTATCACCACGTGATGGCAAGGTTGGTGACAGTGACACTGATAAAGAAATGTTGGTGATGAAAAGGAAGGTGACCCATTAATATGGGTTGCGGTGGGATGACAGTAATGAGACCCTGGAAGTGATGGTGTGGAGTGTAATTGTGATGCTGCTGTTGGTGTTGCTATGGCAGCACCATTGGTGGCAGATCTAGGATGAGGATGGTGTTGGGATGATGACAGCAGGAGTGGAAGCAGTGTGACTGCTGGTGGTGATGGTACAATGATGATGATGAAAGTGATGGTGACAGTGGTGGTGGTGCTGATGTTGGTTTCATACAGATGCTGATGGTGATGGTGGTAGTGGTGCTGATGTTGGTGCTGTAGAGATGCTGATGGTGACAGTGGTGGTGGTGCTGATGTTGGTTTCATACAGATGCTGATGGTGATGGTGGTAGTGGTGCTGATGTTGGTGCTGTAGAGATGCTGATGGTGACAGTGGTGGTGGTGCTGATGTTGGTTTCATACAGATGCTGATGGTGATGGTGGTGGTGGTGCTGATGCTGGTTTTATACAGATGCTGATGGTGCTGGTGCAGATGATGGTCAAGGAGTAATGGTGATGTTCGTGAGAACTCAGGACATTGCTGCATGCCATTTCCTGGGTGGAGCCCCCTATTCTGGGTCACAAGCAGGAGTGGCTCACCTCCATGGTCAGTTTCTTGTGGGCATCCTCTCGGCCATTGATCCTGGCCACCTTTTTGAGTTCCTGGAGCCCTTTGTCTGCTTTGCCCATGATAATCAGCCACCTCGCAGACTCGGGCAACCACCTGGTGAAGAAGCGGGTGCCAGCTGGGTCTGGGCTGCATTGTGAGCTCCTCCAAATGAAGGGGTGGGGAGTGGATGGCCAGCAGCAGACCCTTCAGCTCAATAAGAGGGAGAAAGGGTGGGCACCTATACTGCTGCCTTGCCAATGCCAGGTCAGGAGCCTGGCAGTTGCTGATGGTCCCAGAAAGCAGATGAGTCTCAGTGCCTGGCCACCTTCTTCCTGTCCATGCCATCCCCATTTGCTCCCCAGTGGCCAGGAGCCTGTCCACCACCCCTCCCACCCCGGGGATTTCACCCAGCCAAGCCATCAGCCTGTCTGGTGATGGTGGTCCCTAGAGCCGGCCACTCACCCAGTGAGTCTGGGACCATTTCTGTGGCAGAAAGTGGACGTGGTACTGACAGCTTAAAAAGAAGCACATTTAAAATGCTCCCAGTCAGAACCCGTGGCTTTATAAAAACTGCTTGCTTCCTCCTGGGTTCCCCAAGGGCAGGTGGGAGGAGGCACCCAGAGTTTGCTCAGCCCACAGGGTGCAGCTGAATTTGCTGGGAAATGGGAAGGGCTCCTGGAGGCAGTCTGACACGATGGAGTAAAGAGCCAGCCCATCTGCGTGGGTTCAGGGGTTCAAATCTTGCCGCTGGCCCTCGCCCGGTGGTGTGAGAGTGAGCAGTCAGCCTCTCCTCTGAAGATGGTGATGATAACGATAACAACAACAACAACAACAACATCACTTCCTCATCAGAGAACTGCACACCTGTGCTACAGGGAGCACCCAGCATGCGCCAGAAATCACAACCTAGGAGCCTAAGATGTGTAATGCTGGGACATCAGCCTCCACACCCACGTGCCCTGTTTGCACAACGTGGCTCCAGCAGGCAGGGTCCCGGGGTTTGGCCTGTTGAGGACTCCCTGACCAGACAGCTCAAACCACGTCTGGCAGAGGTCTGAGGTCCCTGAATGTTTGGGAATGAATGAAGGCATCCTTGTCCTGACAAGCTTCCAAAGGCCTCCCCTCCAAAGGTGCTTCTGGGTACTGTGGGGTGGTCCTGACTTGATGACTCAGCACACAGCTGCCGTACCTCTGCCCAGTCCAGCACCTCAGCCCGGCCCAGCACCTCGGCCCGGTTGCCATGTCTCTACCCGGCTCAGCATCTCTGCCCGGCCCAGCACCTCTGCCCGGTCCAGCACTCTGCCCGGTCCAGCACTCTGCCAGGCCCAGCACCTCTGCCCGGTCCAGCACTCTGCCCGGTCCAGCACTCTGCCCGGTCCAGCACTCTGCCAGGCCCAGCACTCTGCCAGGCCCAGCACTCTGTCCGGTCCAGCACCCCGTCCTCACACTGTTGCCGCCGAGCCCAATGCCGCAGGTGCAGTGTCCGCGTCTCACTGAGGACCTTCCTCTTCCCTCTGACTCTATGTCACCAACATGATGCTCCTGTTTGGGGGCTGCTCCCACTCGAGAGCGTTCTCCTGACAAAGTACCATCCTCCTCTTCTCAGGCACAAGGTCACAAGGGGACATTAACCTGTGTTTGTCTCTCTCTTTCTGGCCGTCCCGTCCCCGCCCCAGAGGCACTCCGGGGTTTTGAGGAGCACCGTGGCTCTGTAGATCTTGGACTGAGGTACACAGGCTGGTAGGGGTGGGGGAGGCGGGGGGCCACGGAGGAGCAGGCTGGGGGCTGGGCCAAGTGTGTGGAGGCCCTGGGGGCGTGGGAGATGGGGCAGGGGGCAGAGGGCAAGTGGCACAGCTGCTGTTCAACTCCGGTCCAAGTCTCAGTGCTACTGGATCTTTCCAGTTCTCAAGAAAAGACAGAAATTCTAATTTTGACTGTTTGAGGGAAGCAGGGCCTGTCCTGGTGGAATCAGAACCACAGAGGCCACACTCCTGTGGAACCCCAAAGCCTGCTTCTCCCAGGTCACACCATCTCCCGCCACGACTCTCAGTGCGTCAGCCTGTGGCCAGCCAGGCCCGTGGCAATGAGGGGCCGCCGCCCACCCTGGTCCCCTGCAGGTCTGTGATGCCCACTCCAAGGGAAAGCCCCAGCTCTCCACTGACCAGCAAATGAGGAAGAAGGCAAAGAAGGGCACGGACACGGCCAGCTGGAGTGTCCGCCAGTCCCGCAGGGCGAAGGCCAGGCCGCCGAGGGCCACCTGGCCGGTGCTATAGCTGCAGGAAATGGCCGTCATGAAGAAGGTCCTTCTGGGTGTCGTGACCCACTCCACCGCTGAAAGGCAAGGGCACGTGAGGCCTGGTTCCTGGTCCCCAACCCCACAGCAGGAGCAGGCTAGGGGACACACTCACTGAGGTTCCCGGAGGTCATGATGATGCCGGCTAACAAGAAAGCAGTCAGGAAACGCAGGGCACAGTAGACAAACAGATTCCAGGCCAGGACGGTGCTGGAGCCCGTCACGGCCATCAGCAGGATACCCCAGACCAGGACCCGCCGGCGGCCAATCCTGTGGAGGGAGACGGGCCTGGTGGGGTGCTGGGGAGGAAGGTGCCCGTCTACCAAGGGGTCAGGGCAGGCAACTTCTCCTTCTTGAAGCTTCCATGAACATCTCAGGAAAGGTGCTCCTTATCAAAACTCAGGCGTTGGCTCTGGGGGAGGCGGTGAAGCCACGTGGTCACTACCACAGGCTTCGACTGACCACAGGCTTCGTCAGGGACAGCGGGAGTGCAAGCCACCTCTCTGAGCAGCAGTCTCCATTTGTGAGATGGGAGAGGCCCGTGACCCTCGGGTCCGGGGGCAGTGACCAGCAGTGCCAAACAGTGCCTGGAGAGGCCTCAGATCGGCATGTTGGACGGCTGGGTGATGTGCAAGCCCTGGTGGTTCTGGGCTTGAGCACTTACGACTAACCAGAGGAGCGATGGCTCGAACCAGAGGAGAAAGACATGGCCATGCAGACGAAAGCCTTGAGTTCCAAAGACCTCGTGAGCTGATGCTGGAGTCCCCACTTCAGGAGGAAACTGGGGCATGAAGAGTGATGGTCCCTGACTTCTAGAAGCTCTTAGGCACTGAAGCACGGATTTAGGATTATTGTGTTGTTATGTACTATTGAGTCATCTGAGAGTCGTAGCATCCCTGTGTACAATAGCTCTGAACCCTGTCCTATCCTGAGTCCTTCTCCCTGACACCAACCATCCTCATTGCCCCAGTCACTGTGTCAGCCCACCTCATCCGGGCTCTTCCTCTCCTGCACTGTCCCTTCACCCTTCCAAGCATGATGTCCTTCTCCAAGGACTGGTCCCTCCTGGCCACGTTCCCAAAGTATGTGAGATGGAGCTTCAAAATCTAGGACTTCTCAAATCACTGTCCACTCTTTTATTCATGAAATACTTATCGAGGTTCCGCTGCAGACTCAGGATGTGAGCTGGGGACGGGGCCTGAGGGGGTCATGGGTGAGGCTTCCAGGTGAGGGGCAGCCATGGCTCTGTGGGCTACGGTGGGGACAGTGGCTCTGTGGAGGGATGTGTGTGTGTGTGTGCGCACCCAAGAGGAGGCTTACTGGGTTGGGGAAGGGAGTATGGAAGGGTGGAGGAGGAGTGGGAAGGCCCCAGGGGTCAGGGAGTGAGAGAGGGCTTTGGGATGAGGGGTGGGGGAGGGTCAGGGATGAGCGAGACAGTCTGGGGGTGAGGGTTGAGGAGAGTCAGGGGTGTCTGGTTGAGGGCTGGGGGAGGGTGTGGGAAGTGTGTGTGGGGGAAGGGTCTGGGGAGGGGATGCAGAATGGTCTTGAGGGGGTGGGGGCGGGGCGGGGCCAGCCACTGCTTAGCTTTGTCTGGGGAGAGATGCTCCCTAAGATGGGGTGGTATTAATAAGTTCAGAATTCTCTATATATGTATCAGTTCTAAAACTATAGTTATATAGTTATAAAACTGACATCAGATGAGCTCTGGTGACCTAGTTTCAAAAAGCTGCACTGCAATCCCAGAGGTGAGCAGTTTGAATCCACCAGATGCTCTGCCGGGGAAGGAGGGACAATCTCCTCCTGTACCAGTCAGATCCGATTTAACGGCACACACAAAAAAGAATTTTAAAAAAATGAAGAAAAAAAACCCCACACAACCCCTTCACATCACTTTTCTCTAGCCTGCAAAACTAGTTACTTGGCCTTAGAAATCTTTGTTCTCCTTTCTTTAGTCATGTAAAGTTGTTTAATCTTTCAGTTTACCAGGAGAGGAAATACTGAATTAACTTTTATCTTTCCAAAACCTGTTTTTTTCAGCTATATGTTAACTAGTTTATAGGTTGCCTGTTTACTGGCATCTGTGTGTGATATTTTTTTTTCAAATGTAGAAATTCTTTGACTTTACTAACAAAAGTGCATTGTTAAGTGAGTTGGTGTCTCACCCTGGTGTAAAAGCCTAATGACCACTCCCAGGTGGAGAGGCTGTCTTTGAAGGCAACTCACTGTCCTCCCAGATCTGTAATAAAGTGTTTATGGATATTGCAATCCATTTGTCTTATTGGCAATTGACTACAGAAAGAACCCTTTGTGTTCAGTAACACCCACACATCCCTATGATGCTCAGAAGTCTACCCCAAATATGGGTGACCCCCTCTGGCAGTAGAATTGCCCCCTCAGGGTCTCCTGAACTCATGTCTATAGGAAGGAGTGTTGGTGGTGCTGTGGTTAGAACACTTGGCTGCTAGCTGAAAGGTTGGAGTTTGGACCTGGGCCTCTGACTGGCTTGATTAGCAGACCACAGCCTGACGCCTTGCCCTGCACGTCAGTTCTGACTGTGGGAGCTTGTAGGGCATCGTGAAACCACCCCACTGGGTTCGCAAGGCTGTGAACCTTTATGAAAGGCGTTCTGGGGTTGGCAGCCAAGAGCTTAATCACTGTGTCACCACAGAGGAGTTTAGGGGCCAGAGGGCTGATGTCAACTGTGACAAAATGTGGAGAAGGGGGCACAGAGAAGGAGTAACCAGTGTCCCTGAGCACGTTCACTAGAAAGAAAATGAAAGGCTGGAGCCGGAGGAGGCCGGCCTCACTGCAGCGCCGGTGCTGGTCTCAGCAGTGCCGAGGGATGGTGAGGTTGCCAACGGGGGTCCTGGGGACGACACCCAGGTGCGGACCATGGTGCACCTCCCAGCAAACAGACACAGGACAGCCTGACTCAGACATGGGGCTCCTGGGAGTCATGTGTCCTCCACTCCAGATTACCCAACTTCAGGGCCCTCCCAGGGGCACCCAGCTCGGGCTCTGGGCCCACAGTGCAGGGTGGGCAGGGAAGGGACACTCACCGGTCTGAGAGGACACCCCACATGATGGATCCCAGCAGAAGGCCGGCCATGAAGATGGACTGTGCCAGGGGCTTCAGGTACTGGTGATGGCAGACCAGGTCCCACTGGAAGAGAGGCAGGACCACAGCTCAGGGCGGCAGAGGTAGGAGGTCTGTGCCAGGAACCCCATCGGCCTGGGTCCTTTGGTCCAGACACTTACAATGGGCCTGGTCCCTAATACTATAAAGACTCCCCAGTGTGACATGCCTTTGATCTCCTGACTGCTGTTACCATGGGTGTTGGCTGTGGATCCAACATATAATGAAATTGGTGACAACTTAAAACTTTCTCCATCTATCCTAATGGAGCCTATTGGCCGAGAGGTGGGGAGTCTTGTTTGCTGGGTGGTGAGATGTGATTCGCATTGAAGGCTGGATTCTTTGATCTTCTTCAGTAAGTGCTTCAAGCCTTCTTTACTGCAAAGGAGAGTCCTCAGAGGGTCTGGGCTGGGAAAGGATAAGACTGATTTGCATTTCCAAGGGTTCTTTTGCCCCTGACCCAATAATCAGAGGCACTGGACTAAATGAGAAAGAGCTCGGCGTCAGGATTGGAGGAAGGCTCTCAGCAGCCTGAGGTGTGCAGCGGACAAACCCTGATCTTTTCAAGGGAAGAGGACCTGATGGTCTGCTGAAGATCAAGGACTGGAGTGGCCTTTAGGATGGACGACATCTCAGCATCAAGAAAACAAAGATCCTCACCCCTGGAGCCATAGACAACTCACGATACACGAGAAGAGAAGAAGTCGTCAAGAATTTCCTATTACTCGGATCCACAATGAACAGGCAGGGATGCAGCAGTCAAAACCCTTCCCCCCAAAGCAAAACCTAAAACAAAACCTACTAAGAACTCATTGCATTGGGCGCGTCTGCTGTCCCGGATTGCTTTAAAGGGCCGAAGAGCAGGAAGGTCACTTTAAAGGCTAAGCTGGCCTGACCCCAGCATGCTCTGTTCCCGGCCTTCCAGGGCGGCGTGATGGACAGCAGACGGTGGACAGCAGAGAGTGGACAGGACAGGAGAGCTGGAGCCTCAGCGCTGCGCATGGGCTGCCTGAGAACGAGCAAGGGGTGCTGGTGGCCTGGTGGTAAGTAAGCAGCTGCACTGCAGGCTCAAAGGCAGCTGGTTCGAATCCCCCGGCTGCTCTGCAGGAGAAGGATGGGCACTCTCCTCCCGCGCGATTTACAGCCTCTGAAAACCGGCCAGAGGGTCAGCTATGGGTCGATTCTGACTCGATGGCACAAAACAACTAGAGAATAAACAAACCTGTCCTGGAGGAGTGTGGGAGAATTCCAACTCATACTCCGGGCATGTCGTCCGGAGGGGCCGGGTCTTAGGGAAGGACACTGTGCTTGGAAGAGCGAGGGGTCAGCGAGATGACCAACGAGTGGCCGCAGCATCGGCCTTAAGTGCGTGGGGAC